GCTTTGATCCAAAATGCTTTTTCTACTCACTCATTTTGATTGTTGGTTTGGATTGCAATTTTAAATGTCCAATTTGTTTTTAAACTCAATGGACTTTGTGATGTAGATGAAGTTGGATAAATATTCATCAATTCAAATCTACCTAAGAGTGAATTATTTAATTCATTTCTGGTGCTTTGGATTAATGATATGTTTAGTGCTTTAATCCATCTAGAGGAGTGGTTGAATTTAAAGATGAAAGAATTTTGAAATGGTGATCCGAATTAGCTTATCATTTCCCTCCCTCTTCATCTTATCCCTTTATTTTTTTAATTGTGCTACATGTTAAGGGATGTTGATCTCTATATCATTTATCCAAACATGAAGTACATAGATTGCTATTGACCGGCCTCAAAATAGGTGTGACTTATACATAAGTCCACTTACGATTGCTTAACATAGCGCTAAATTTTGTCCCGATTCAAATAAATGATCATTCGTGGCCCAAACTTATGATTGCAAGCCCAAGTATGTTAATTTGATCTCTTTGATCCAATAACCTTGAGATTCATTGTGTGGAGGCTTTGGTTATACCAATCCTCTAATGGATCTACAACACCTTTGGTCAATGCGGATCACTTAAACATCGTTGATCATTACATGTTGCCTTGTGAGAATTCCAAAATGGATGATATACTTGACAAAAAGCAAATGCAACTTGTTGTGTGGAGGCTTTGGTTCTACCAATCCTCTAATGAGTTCCAAATGCAAGTTTCAAGATGGTCATCCAACTAACCACTAATTACTAACAATTAACTTTACTTTACGCTTTTATTTTCATGCTTTATGTACCATTTACTTTTAGCATTTTACATTTCATGCTATTTTCATCTTTTGCTCACTTGAGCATTTACTTTTATGTCATTTTTATTTTGCTCACTTGAGCTTTTATTTCTTTTTAAAGACACCTAATAATCAACATGAACCATAAAAATCATTAATGATACTTGGACTACATGGTTACTATCCTTTGCATTATGGAGTGATGGACTTCTTGGACTTAGGACTAGAGACCTTGGCCTATCTTGGAGACTTTGTGACTTTATTTGATATTTTGTCTGGAGTTCTTGAGGTTTACCTCAAGACATTGGGTTGTTTGTTTGTTTTGTGTGCAGGTTATTGAGATTACGATCTTTGTTTGTAATCTGGAATTCACCCGTATACAGCCGTTACTCTGCCCAATTTTTGCGAAGACTTAAAACACTTGAAGTTTGGTTCTCTCAAGAGGTCTAGTATCTTTGCTTGCTTGGTTTCAATCCTAAGAATGGGAATTCTATATTGACTCATAATTTCAAGTATTGGCTTCTTGTTGGTTAGATGGTTCTTATCCATAGCTTTTACCTTATGCTTTAGGATAGCCTCTTCTTCTCCTCCCATCTTCTTTAATTTCAAAAATCTTCTCCCTCCTTTTAAAAAAAAAACTCTTCTTGTTTTGAAACTTGAAACATTTTCATAATAAACTTGGACTTAGGTCCATGCATCTTTGAAACATTTTCATAAATAAATTTCAATCAATTTAATAATACCTTGACCTTTTTTTGTGAGAAGACTAAAAGTCAATCAATCTCATTTCAAACCATTTTGCCACTTTGGCTTTTATCTTTAAACTTTTCTCAAAAAGATTAGACTCTTGTCAATCCTTGTAGTGATGCAAACAACTATACTTCTACAATATGTAGTGAAGTGAGATATTTTCCACTTGGGTGTTGAGTGAGGCATTGTTGATTTTAAAATCCAAGCCATATCCTCCACTTTGAGATGATGCAAATTATCCTTTCTCATGATTGTGGGTAGTAAGTATGTTTTCCACACGGACAATTACGATGATGTCTTATCTCATAAAATCAACCAACACACTTGTGTTTCAAATTTTTAAAAGAGGGACTACGTGTACCTTGATCCCCTATTGCACGAAAGGTAGTACGTAGGCACTAAAGGTTCGCAACCGCGGCGGATGTAAAAATCATAAAAATATTTCTTTTCTCATCTCCACCATCCATTTTATACACAACACATTTTTATAGCCAAAATATACAAATTTTTCAAAGAGGTTCCTGCGGAGTACCGTAGATGTTTAGGGTGCTAATACCTTCCGTTTACATAACCAACCCTCTTACCTTGAACTTTTCCCCCTCTTTTGGGTTATTCGCTCTTTTCCCATTCCTTTGGAAATAATAAAGCGCGGTGGCGATTTTTATTTTGATTTGTATAAAGTCTAGTCAATCCAATGGCTTAGTCTTGCACATTTCTACCGCTACACTATGAGAGGTCTACCCTAATACTATTTTTAATGCCAAAGTATGCTTTTAGGATTATCGACTGACCCCATAAACCAACACGAGTATTTTCATCATGCTTTATCCTCACTTTCACGCTTTCTGGGAAACTTCTTAGAAGGCCACCCATCCAAATACTATTTGAAGTCAAGCACGTTTAACTATGGAGTTCTCATCTATTAGGCTACCGAAAAGAATATGTGAGTTCTTATCTGTTAGGCTACCGAAAAGAAGATGCATCTTGTTGGTATATGTAGTACCTATCAATTATTATAAACTTTCCTTCAACCATGCAGTCTCATACCGTCACAGCCTCAGGATCCTTCTCATTCTGATGTGAATTCCATGATCACTACTCGTCTTTTTTGACCTCAAGAGTATCTCATTGTCATTCCTCGTGCATCGAAAACCACTCCCCTCCCTCGTTGGCTCGGGTGTTACACGAGGTCTGCTCTAATACCATTTATAATTTCCCACACCACTTTCAGGATTATCAACCGAACCTACAAATTAACACGAGTCTTTTCAGCATGCTTTGTCCTCACTCACACATTTTATGGGAGACTTTCTAGATGGTCACCCATCCAAATACTATTCCAAGTCAAGTCTACTTAACTGTGGAGTTCTTATCTGTTAGGCTACCGAAAAAGAAATCTTTATGGTATAGGTATTACCTATCAATCCTTATAAGATTTCCTTCAACCATGCAGTCCCATACCCGCACATCCTCGGGATCCTTCTCATTCTGATGTAAATTCAATGACCATTCATTTCCCTTTTTCGCATCGGGAGTGTCTCATTCTCATGCCTTATGCACCGACAACCACTTCCCGCCTGTGTTGGACTCGGGTGTTACATGCCCACCAATATCCATTTTATTCATCCTCGAACCACACCTTACTATGAGATGTCTCCTTTGATACCATTTATAACGCCACCTACTACTTTCAGGATTATCGACTGACCCCACAAACCAACAGGAGTCTTTTCAGCATGCTTTATCCTCACTCACACGCTTTCCATGAAACTTCTCAGAAGGTCACCCATCCAAATACTATTCCAAGTCAAGCACGCTTAACTATGGAGTTATTATCTATTAGGCTACCAAAAAAAAAGATGCAAGTTCTTATCTGTTAGGCTATAGGAAAGAAGATGCATCTTATTGGTACGGGTAGACTTATCAATCCTTATAATCTTTCTTACAACCATGCAGTCTCATACACACGCAGTCTCAAGATTCCTCTCATTCTGATGTGAATTGGACAATCACTCATCGCCCTTTTCAGCCTCAGGAGTGTCTCATTGTCATGCCTCGGGCATCGAAAACCACTCCCCTCCCTCTGTTGGCCTCAAATGTTACATGAGGTCTGCTCTGATACCATTTGTAATGCCCCAGACTGCTTTCAAGATTATCGGTTGAACCCACAAATTAACACGGGTCTTTTTAACATATTTTTTCCAACTCACACACTTTCTCAGAAACTTCCCAGAAGGTCACCCATTCAAATACTATTCCATGTCAAGTACGCTTATCTACAGAGTTCTTATCTGTTAGGCTACCGAAAATAAGATGCATATTGTTGGTATAGGTAGTACCTATCAATCCTTATAAGCTTTCCTTTAACCATGCAGTCTCATACCTACATAGCCTCAAGACCCCTCTCATTTTGATGTGAATTCGGAAACCACTCTTCGCCCTCTTCGACCCCAGGAATGTCTCATTTTCATGCCTCGTGCACCGATAACCACTCTCCGCCCTCCTTGGCCTCGGGTGCTACATTATCCGTTACTTAAAAGGATACCCTGCTTGTGGATTTTTCTTTTCAAGAGATTCTCACACACAATTGATTAGTTTTTCAGATGCAGATTGGACAGGTTGTGAAAATACACGCAGATCCATATCGGGCCAATGTTTCTTCATTGGTAAATATCTCATTTCATGGCGTACAAAGAAACAACTCACAATATCACGCTCATCATCTGAAGATGGATATCACACCCTTGCTGCAACAACTTGTGAAATGCAATGGCTAATATATTTCCTTCATGATCTACAAGTTCACACCTCATAGCCTCTAATTTTGTATTGTGACAATTTGAGCGCAATGCATATTGCTGCTAACCTGGTTTTCCACGAGCGTACCAAACACTTGGAAATCGACCGTCATATTGTCTGTGAAAAACTACAAGCTAAATTGTTCAAACTGCTTCTTGTTTCTTCCAAAGATCTGTTGCTCGATTTCTTCACCAAGCCACTTCTACCACAACAATTTCACACTCTTTTATTCAAATTGGACATGATTAACATTTATCCTTCAACTTGTAGGAGAATATTACACCATGAACAAGTTAGACGTGACTAACTTGTTCTTCAAATATCCATAAGTAAATTAATTAGAGATTGTTAGTTAGTTAAAGATTGTTATATTGGTTAGTTATGGTAGTTAGGAGATTCCATATAATATATAATATTATACTATCATAACTACCGTACACCATAAGAACACTTTTATAAAATTTAATTTTACTTTACTAAAAAAACATAAAAAATCAAATTACAAACTTCATATTCAAAACCAAAAAATCAAGAATATTGATCAAAAATTTTTTTAGACAGAAACAGAATAACTAATAAATAAATAAATGATAAATGAAGCACATATAGGTTGAATGAATAAGTTGAATTCAAGTGCAGCACCTTCCACTAAAAATAGAAAGTTTACTACTATATCCAATTTTGATTCCATGTTTCTCATTCAACACATCAATTTCTCCATCTTCAATCTTCTTATATATTGATCCAGCTGTTTTTAAGAATGCTGCTTCAACATTTTCTGCACTTTTTGCCGAAACCTCCATGAAGATTAAACCATTCTCCTTCGCGAACTTCTCACCTTCTTGAATAATTACAATGCGCTTCTTAGTAACATCTGACTTGTTTCCGATTAACATAATGGTCATACTTGAATTTGCATGTTGCCTTACATCTTCTAACAAGTAGTCAAGTGATGAAAATTGCCACGTATTTCTTATTTACACCCATTTTTAGTATATCGGATGTAAATTCTATAATTAAATTGTCTTTTTTTGTACTAGTGATCATTCATCACCCCCTTCTTCCATATTCATCATTCAACGCCACCATCTTCATACACATACTGTTACAACAACCCAACAACAACACACCACAAGTAAGATAACAAAAAAGGAAGAAAGAAAAAACCCTTTTAGAACTTGGAATCACTTGGTTGATTAAAATTGAGGGTTTGAATGTGAATAGTGAGTGAAAGATGGAGAGAATATAATTGAGGGTGAGAATGTAAATTTTCATTAGCTATAGATGATGATACCTCCAAGATATTTATACATCAATTACAAGTGGATTGAGACACAAGCAACAAATAAAATAACTCAAACAAATGCTAAATACAACAAGCAAGTATAGTAATAAAAAATGGTAGCTAACATTATTCAATGCACCAAGTTGTAAAATGCAGGAAAATTTTAAAGGCACATTTTCCATTTCACTACAATCAAAGACATTATTTCCTTTGTAAAGCAAATAGTTAAGGCTCTGACACTCTAAAACGACATCCCATCATGGTCGATGAAAGCCGACGGTCTGGCCCAAACTCTAAAGTGAATAAAGAATTTTTAGAGTAAAAGAGCAACCTCCAGAGTTACAACAATTCATAAACAACAATAATAACAAAGCAAGCGAAAAACTCTAAAGCAAATGAAACTTGAATCATCAAGGTAAAATATTTTCATTAAACATCATATCTAAAATAAAAATAAATAAAGTATTAGGTAACAATTTTTTTTCAATATATCCAACATCGCCTCATTCTTTATTTAAAATCTGAAATCAAAATTTGTTAAATATATCTAACATAATGATATCACGTCTTTTTATATTTAAAAAAATATTTAAATTGATTTCAGTAAAAATTTTAGAATTAGTTAGAATTATTTGTTTTAATTTCTATTAACAAATGATTCATAAATTTAAACTCCTCTAAAAATTATTATACAAGAGTAAAAGTTAAAAATAAAATTTAAAACATCATATCCAAACTCAATAAGATTGAAAATATTGATACAAAAATTTATTAAAACATAAACTGAGAATAAAAAACAAAATAAAATAAAATATTGAGTTGAACTAGTGCAACAACTTGTACCATAAACAGAAAGGAGCTTATCAACCCTAGAAACTGATGATTTACTAACCTATCCAATTCTAATTCCATGACTCTCATTCAACTCATCAAATTCTCCATTTTCAATTTTTTTATATATTCTTGCAGTTGTTTTTATGAACGCGTGTTCAACACTTTGTGCGCTTTTCGCCGAAACCTCCATGAATATCAGACCATTCTCCTTCGCAAACTTGTCGCCTTCTTCCGAACTTACAACGCGCTTCTTAGTGAGATCGCACTTGTTTCCGATTAATATAAAGATCATATTTGAATTTGCATGTTGTCTCAGATCTTCAAACCAGTTAGCTAGGTGATCAAATGTTTGTCTCCTTGTTATATCATAAACAAGTAATGCAGCTGCTGCTCCTCCGTAATACGATCTTGTTATTGATCTGAACATTTCTTGACCTGCTGTGTCCCATATTTGTAACTTGATTGGTCTGTTATTAATGTTGATCGTTCTCACACCCAATTCTACACCAATTGATACGTCGTGGACGGGTTGAAAGCGGTTGTCAGTGAATTGAAGTTGAAGGCATGATTTTCCGACTCCGGTGTCTCCGATTATTATGTAGTTGAAAAGGTATGCATAAGACATTTTTTGTGTTAGGTTTTAGCAAACTGGGAATTAGGAGATAGAAGAATAAAGAGATATAAAAAGTGAGAGCGATGCAGTAAGTATTTATAGGGATGCAAATCTTAGAGAAACAAATTAATAACAACCTAAGCTAATCTTATTCTAAATACTCGGAAGATAAGTCACCATAATCGGAACTAACTTATAATTCAAATTACTATTTTTGGAATAACTAATTATTAGTTAACGTGTTAGTAGCACATGTGAGTAGCAATCAAAAAGATGATATTATTTGTATTTCAAAACGGATAGAATTTAATTAAAAAATTGATTAAAAATTTTAATGACAAATATTAATATATAAATTTAAAGAGTTGAATAATTTTATTCAAGATTATTTAGATGATATGGCGGAATTCTCTTCTAATTTTATGCATAATTGTCTTTTTTTTTCTGTTAGGTTTTTGGGAACTGAGAATAAGGAAGTGACAAAGGAGAAGGAAGCGATATAGAAAGTGAGGTGCTGTGTTGATGATTCAGAAAAGAGATGCACTGTAGAGTTTTAAAGTTTTGGATGCCTATAGAGTTTTGTTTTCTATTTCTTTGCCAAATCGTGTGGGTTAATTTTTTTTATTAAAAACAAATAAATTTATTTAATTATTATTATTTATAAAAAAAAATGTTTGACTTGCTATTTTTTAGCCATTGAGTTAGTTTTTCATTTATTACGTGAGTTTAAGTTATTCTAGTTTATTTTCTTAATTAATTAATTCTATTTATAAGTAAATTTAAGAAATTTTAAAATTAAGAAAGTGGGTAGTGGGTTTTAAGTTTTAACGTGGGTTTATATGTTAAGGTGTTACTAAGGTTAGTATTTTTTATTTTATTATTTATTATTATTATTATTATTATTATTATTATTATTATTATTATTATTATTATTATTATTATTATTATTATTATTATTATTATTATTATTATTATTATTATTATTATAAATTCAAAATTATTGTTAATTATATTTTAATTATTAATTGATTAATAGGTGGATTATTTTTAGAGGAAGCTTTGGACAGAAATTTTAGGGAAGAAGTTATAGGATTACAATTTATATATGATATGATTATTTTAAGTTCAAAATTATTATTACTATTGTTAATTATATTTTAATTATTAATTGATTAATAGGTGGATTATTTTTAGAGGAAGTTTTGGAGGGAAATTTTAGAGATGAAGTTATATATATATATATATATATATATATATATATATATATATATATATATATATATATATATATATATATATATATATATATATATATATATATATATATATATATATATATATATATATATATATATATATATATATATATATATATATATATATATATATATATATATATATATATATATATATATATTAAATTTAAATTATTATTATTAATTATATTTTAATTAATAGGTGGATTAATTTTAGAGGAAGTTTTTGAGAGAAATTTTAGGAAAGAAGTTATAGGATTATAATTTAGTATGATATGATATTTAATGATGACAATTAAATATTTAATGATGACTAAAGTCAAGCATAAGCGCTTAAAGCAGTTAAAGAAACAACTTACGTTATTAGGGTTTGATAATGGATTTCACTGTGTGATGATGGAAAACAAATGGAATATAACTCAAGCCTATAGACTCAAGCAAGTGTTTAAAAGAATGATGCATCTGACAAAGGCTTTAAGTTTATGAAAGCCCCGCATCGATACGTCTGAGTGAACATATTGAAAATAATAAAGACATTCTCGTAAAAGTACATGGCTAAATTGCAGACAAACATAACTTTGTTTTCAACTTTATCTTTCTCAAGAATTTTTATCTTTTAAAAGATTTTTTTTTGGAAAAACACCTTGAAGTCGTAGCAGATATGTTTGAAATTGTTAGAAAAGCTATGAGCAAGTTTTTGGTTCTACTAATCGATTGACACTCCTTGCAATCGATTGCCACTCCTTCCAATTGATTTGAGCAATTAAAAAATGTTCCCTAATCAACTAGGTCAGAGCCTTAATGTCTAACGGCTAAATATATTTCCTTTCCTTTTTGACCTTGATAATCAATTAACTTAGGGTAACCAATCGACGGGAAATATGTACCAATTAATTGAGAAGTTATAAAAATCCTTAAAATCATTTTCTTTTTTGAGGAAACCTCTAGGCTATAAATTGAGGCACCTTTCCACTTTTTTTCACATCCAGAAACGTGTTTTCACTTCTCACTCTCTCTAAACACTATTTTTGCTTACTTTCTTTCACTAAAAGTTTAGCCGGAGTATTTTTCAAGAAAGTCCTTTTGTGAGTGAGGAATTTGTAATTCTAGAAGGGTAGAATTACAATCCACCAAGGGAATTTTGTATACAATTTGGTTGAATATTATCTACTTAGGGATTATGTTATTTTGGTTGGAAGCTAATTTCGTAAGAAGGTTTAGTTTGGGGATAGTGTGATTCAATCTTTGTTTAGGTTTGAGATCATCCCACTATTAAAATCATTTAGGTTTTTGGTTAGCCAGTGATAAAACCAATATTAGGTTCAAACTTAGCCTAATATTATAATTTTCGTAGGTTTGAAATTAGCATGTGGTAAAATCTCTCAAGTTTTTGGTTAGCCCGTGGTAAAACTAAAGCTAGGTTCATGAGCATAGCCTGGTATTAAAAGCTCTACAATGTTCAAGATTAGCCTATGGTAAAATCTTTGTTTAAGAAGCTTGAAGACTAACAAATTCAAGATTTTTCTTTTGTGGAAATATGACTAACAACTTCGATCCAACGTTTGGAAGGAAGACTCGCCACTTCATTCCTCAGTTTAATTTTTGGTTGGAAGTTATTCATAAACTTCAGTTTTCTTGTATAAGGGGGTTCGTCAGTATTACATACTAAAAGCTCTCAAGTTTATTGGATACTCTAAAGATCAAATCATGGAGACATGATTAGGTCTTTTTCTTTTGATCGAAACTTTATAATTTATGGTTTTCTTATCTTTCCATTAAACTCTTTATTTTTACAATTTATACTTTTCAATTGTATTTTTTGCCACTCAATTATAAACCTTTTCTAAAAATGTTTTCAAAGTATGATTTTAATCTTAAAAGTTTTTCAAAACCAAATATTTATGAAACACACAATTC